CCTTTCAAATTGATGGAATCATATATGACCTTTGTGTTATATGGCCTCCAACCCATGATGAATAAAAGGCCCAAACACCACTTTAATTTTAGGGAAAATTACCTAGAAACCTACATTTAACGATTAATTTTCAAAATAAGAATGATTAATTTTCATTTCACAAATCAAGTGTTAATTAGATTTAATAATTATAATTAATGAAAATTTAATTAAACCTATATACCCACTGCCCATTCCACCCATTTTCTTCCCAAATCCCCAAATATTTTCATTTTCCCACCACACAGACACACACTCTCTCTCTCTTTCTCTCTCCAAAATCACCCACCCAACCATCTCCCTTTTTGGCACAGTGAAGCCCATTCCATCCCCCATTTCCTTCCCAAATCCAAGCCCCAAATATTTTCATTTTCTCACCTCTTTCTTCGCCCTATCTTCTCTCTCTCTCTCTCTACAACCACCCACCCAACCATCTCCCTTTTTGGTGAGTGAAGTATCACCGACCACTAATAATATTGAAAGCGGTGGTAAGTTTACAGGTGGTGGTGACTATGAGTGATTGGATGATGGAGATGAGCTCACGGGTGGTGGTGGAAAGAAAACTGGTTTTTGTGATGAAGGAGATGGAACCGGCATAGCTTTATCAAATTTTTAGTGATGGGTTGTTTTTTGTTAGATCTTTTGTTTAACCAGAGTTTTGGAATAGTTGTGGGTGTTTTTGCAGTGTCGGTGATTTTCTGATCTGTGGTGATTCTGTTGTTGGTAATTGTGGTAAAGTGGTTCATATTTGGTTCGCTGGTGGTGGTATAGGCTATGATTGTTCTGTGGTTGGCTATGATGGTTCAGTGATCGGTTGTGACTTGATATTGACCTAGTCACAGACAGTCACACTGAATACAATTTTGGTCACATTTAGTCACACCTAAGATAAAGTTGGTCATGGTTAATCACAGGTCTGCGGTGTGTGCAGATTTGTTTGTGGTAACCCTATGCGATCAAGTATATATTGTTGTGACTGTTTGTGACCAATTTTGTGTTGATTGTGATCAGTTGTGACTTGAGATTGACCTGGTCACAGACGGTCACAATGAATACAAATTTGGTCACAATTAGTCACACTGAAGACAAAGTTGGTCACGGCGTCGAGTGGTCATTGGAGCAGTTTGCTGAAGGGATAGCCAAATAGCCACCGAAGCAGGCGTTGGAGTGATTGCACGAGACAATCATCGGAGCTACCACCAGAGTGATGGTTGGAACTGTTGCCGAAGTGATCGCCAGAGCCGATGGTTGTCTCCGATGGAAAGGTGATGGGAAGGTGGTGTAGTGGGGTAATAGGATGGGGTGGAAAAGGTGACATGAGTGGAAATAATTAATGTATATTATATTATATTTTAATATTTAATAAATTTATTTACCACCCAATTTTTGAAATATTTTAATGAATTTGTTATTTATGAAATGTGATCTTTAAAAATAGGAGTTATGTTAAGATCCCTTAGTTTTATCTAAGTTAAAAAGGTGGCCACCCACATATATATACCTCTCAAAAAACATAGCCAGTGGGCTGAATATTATCAAAAGCTATGGTTGTGTATGAGAGACAAAAACAAAAGGCTGCTGTTGAGGAATTAAAATAGTGGCTGATTTACGTACATATTGGGAACGTTGGTTGGAGAAAAAAGAAAAAGAGGAAAAAATTCTTTCAATCTTTTGGGTGTAGATTCACGCGGATTATTTTTCTTCTCTACATAATACAGATTGGAATTTTCTCTAAAGTGTATTTTGGGTACTTCTTAGGTGTTGTATTCAAAGTAAGTTTCTCACAAGTTAATTTAAATTGGTGACTTGTGATGAGATAAATTGATCTCCTAGAGATTAATTATTGTGGCTTTTCCAATTTGTTGAGAATTCAATTTTCGGGGCATAAACTTAAATATTGTAATCTATATTTTTTATTAAAGTGAATTTTTGCAAGAGTTGCCCCGTGGTTTTTTCCCACTACACTGAAGGGTTTTTTTCACGTAAAAATTTGGTGTTGTGTTTGCTTATTTTTGCTTCAATTATTTACTTGCATATTTAATCACTCTAGTTAGTTATTTGGATTGGTGAATTATTCTTGCAATAAGTGAAATTGACCAACAAAGTGGTAGAAGTGCTCAGGTTGTATGGATGTGATTTATTGTAGGAATAAATGGAGAATACCTCAGGCATTATGATTAAATTATTGAGTTCAAATTATTCAATTTGGAAGCCTATGATAGAGGATATCCTTTATTATAAGGATTTACTCATACCTATTGAAGGTAATGGTGCTAAGCCAAACAATATGAATGATAGGGACTGGAGGAAGATGAACGGGTAAGCCATTGGATATATTAGATAGTGAGTTGACCTTAATGTGTTCTATCATATATCTCAAAAGATAGATGCCCATAGGCTTTGGGAAATATTGGAAAGTTTCTATGAGAGGAAGACTGCTCAAAATAAATCTTTTGCTATTAGAAAGCTTGTGAATATAAAGCTAAAGGAGGAAAAATCAGTTGCTGGGCATTTGAGTGAATTCCAAGACTTGATAAATCGGTTGACTATAATGAATAGTAGGAGATGCAAGCAATATTACTTCTTAGTTTATTGCCCAATAATTGGGAGACTTTAGTGGTATCACTGAGTAACTCTACTCCGAATGGTACATTTGAACTTACTCTAGTTAAAGACGGTTTGTTTAATGAAGAAATGCGAAGGAAAGACTTGGGTAGAAATAATGCATAGGCTCTTATTATAGAGAACGGAGATAGGAGTAAAAGCAAAGGTCCTAAGGGACGTGGTAACTTCAGAAGTCAGTCAAATACAAGAGAAAATGTTAAATGTTTTTATTGTCACTAAAAGGGTCATATAAAGAAACATTACATGGCTCGAAAAGATAAGTTAAAAGAAGAGAAATCAGAGAAAGACTTATCAGAATTCAACAGCTAGCACTTCAGATGAAGAAATAGTGGTAGCAGTTTTTTCTACTGAATAGGTTATTGACTCTGCGTTTCTTACTAAGTTACTCCAAGATAGTAGTTCTTCACTTCACACAAATCAGGTAACTTTGGCAGGGTGAAGATCGGTAATGACAGTTTTGCCAGTATTTTGGAAATTTGTGATATCTGTCTTTATACAAATATTGGGTGCAGCTTAACATTGAAGAATGTGCGACATGTTCCTGACATGCACTTGAATTTGCTATCTACGCATACCTTTGATGAAGTAGGGTATGATAATTATTTTGGCAGCGGAAGATGGAAACTAACAAAAGGGTCGATGGTATTTGCTAGAGGAAAAGTTTGTTTCACACTTTACAAGACACAAGTAAAGGTGTATAGTGAAGCGGTGAATGCAACTGAAAGTGATTTATCACTAGACTTGTGGCACACGTGATTGGCTCAAATGAGCGAGAAAGGATTAGAGATCTTGGTAAGGAAGTCCATCATTCCTTTTACAAAGGTACATCATAAAATTCATGTCATTATTGTTTACTTGGTAACAGCATAGAGTTTTCTTCAAAAATCCTCTAGTTGAAAATCAAATATTTTAGATTTGATTTATTCTGATGTGTGTGGTCCCATTTAGGTGAAGTCCTTAGGTGGTGCTAAGTATTTTCTTACTTTTATTGATGAAACTTCAGGAAAGTTGTGGGTGTTCTTTTTGAGATCAAAACACCATGTTTTCTAATATTTCAAGAAGTTCCATGTCACGGTGGAACGAGAAAGTGGAAAGGTTTTAAAATGTCTCCGAACTGATAAAGGAGTGGAATACAAGTCTAAAGTGTTTGAGGATTACTGCTCATAATACGGTATTAGACATGAGAAGACAGTTCCTGGTACTCCACAGCATAACGGTGTTGCAGAGAATGAACCGTATCATTGTAGAAAATGTCGGAAGCATGTTATGGATAGCCGTGTTACCTGAGTCATTCTGGGATGAAGCAATTCGAACATTGTGCTACCTAATCAATCGGTCTCCAATAGCTCCTTTGAATTTGAGATTCCAAAAAAATTGTGAACGAGAAAAGATGTTTCTTATTCTCACTTGAAGGTTATTAGGTGCAAAGTATTTGCACAGTGGCTAAGGAACAATGGTTGAAACTAGACGATAAAACTAGTCCTTGTATTTTTGTTGGCTACGGAGATGCAGAATTTGACTATAAAATACTTGATCCTGGAAAAGAAAAAAATAATTAAAAGCAAAGATGTG